CTTGGGGGGGGCTTAAGGCATAGCATGTAAGGCGTCTTAATAAAAAGAACTTTCAGCCTGATTGAAGTTATAGTAAGCTGCTGTTTTTCTTAAATAGGAAAAAAACAATGAGAATTTAATAAAATACAAGTTTTACTTCCGTAGACATGTCTGCTTTTTTTAAAAGTGTTGAGCCTGTGGTAGACTGTTTTGTTCCCTTTTTTTAGAATTAGAAATTGCCCAAAAACAAAACGATTGTACCCTTTTAGTTTTGACATTCAAATATTTAGAGTCACGTGTGAAAAGTGAAAACGATGTATTATGTTGCTTGCTCGTTCTATGATTGCTATAATATACGCATGATTGATTTTAAGATTTCAATTCATATCATAAAAATAAACGTAGCATTGATGTATCCATAAAATTATATTTGTATTTCTCAGATTCACCATCAACTGGACGCACTAATTCTCTTAGTCCTTTATTATCCACATCAGCCGGCTCACAATCTTCTCTTCAAAGACTTGATTTAGTTCGTTCGTTAGCTACATCACATGGTCTTCTGGATGAGTTAATATCAATATTCGATACAATAGCATTTTCATCTGAAGAACTTCAAATAATTCTAAATAAAATTGCTACAAAACATATAACAGATAAACATGATTTGCAACGTTTAATAGCATCGGCCAAACACGATAAAACATTTGAACGTATTCTTGATGATACATATCGTAGCCAAGCAAAAATTCTTGCTATTGAATTACAAGCAGAAAAAAGTCGTGTGCTCGAATTAACTCAATCAAATGCTGATTTGGAAAATACAATTCGACAATTTCAACAACAACAACATCAACAACCAAATAATATGGCACAATATGAACAAATGATTTTACCATATCAAATACAGTTTCGAAGGTTAGCAGACGAAAATGCACATTTACAACATCAATTACATGCTTATTCCATGTTGCCTGCAACAATCAATGAACTTAAACAACAGCAACATATTCTTAATGAGCAATTGAGACAGTTGACAATTAGAAATAGTGCTTTAGAAAATGAAGCTGCTGAGAGTGAACGAGCTAGCAAACGTGCCGCCGAAATTTACAAAAAGGGTCAGTCATTTTTTTAAATTTATCTAATGGATTGTTTTCTTCAATTTGATTTATTTTCATAGCCGACACACAAAAACAAGAGCGAATAGAACAAATGATAGCTGATATAAATAAATATAAAAAGCTAGATAAAGAATTGACAAATTTTCGTCAAAAATATAATGAAATTGATAAAAATTTAAATGAGAAAATTAATGAAGTAACTCATCAACGCGATAAACTACGAGTACATTGCAATCACTTAAAGGAACAAGTCGAACAGTATGAACAGTTACAAATCAAATATGACAAGTTAATTCAGTCAAAATCGAATAATTCAACATTTCAAATTCAACAAGAAATAAATAAATTAAAAGCAAAAAATGATGAATTACGACAACGTAATTGGAAAACTATGGAAGAGTTAAATAAATCATTACATGAACAACAAGATAATCAAAATACAAAATCATCATAGGTATAGGGTGTTGTGCTTTCTCTTTTCGATACAACAAAATGGTGCATTTTTGTTTCGATACTTTTTCTGCTTTCGAATATTATGGCTTTTTATTTTTTGCTTAATCACGGTTTATCAATCGTATTATTCTTTTCTGTCTTGTTTTCTTTTTCTGTTAGTCAATAATATCTTGACTATTCACTATTGCTTTTATCTGTTTTTGTGCACAACAATAACAATAAGCGTTTATAAAGTGCTAACGTGTGATTTTTTCATCGACTCTTTCAGTTATTTTTTTGTTGATTTTCCAATTCTTTGTACTAATTTTTGCTTATTATTTCAATAAAAATGAATCTGTTTTATTTTAATCTCGATTGATATGCTGCATTGCACTTAAATGTTTAACGTCAAACATCCGATCATTTATTATTTATTAAGAGATAAATCTAATGAAGAACTTAACATAAGTACTATTGTAAATGTGCCGATATTGATTGCACGCTTCGATGATTCTCCTTCCTCTTCCTTCTGTTCTCTTTCCATTGGTGTAATATCTCTCTCTCTTGTCTATCTTCTATCTCTCTCCTATATATACGTGTGTTATGTATGAAGTTGTTACACTCTAGAGATGTCAGATGACACAATATACCATCATGTCGACGGGCATAGGCGACATTCTCTAGTTGTGTCGTTACACTCTGGATATGTGAATAAACGAATAAACATCATTGCCGTGAGTGGCTGTAAGCTACTCCACCTCTATCCAGTTTGTCAATACGATATAAACTCAACTGAGTCTTATTTATCGTTACAGTAAACAAATATACTCTATACTCATTATTTCTTAAATGCACTTTGAGATTCTTACATTTTTAAGGAATCTACATGGATGATATCGGTATACAAATAAGTGATGCTCTATATTCAGCATATTTTAAATCATTTTGAGAGCATGTTGAAATAACTGGTGTTCAGTCAAATTTCATAAAATTCTCAAGAAAATTATATTATAAAAACAAATAAAACACGTTCATGTGATAATGTGACAAGAGAATGTGATTGTATACGACACATTAATAGTACACTTGTATACAATCGCTATAATAAAGCAAAATAAATGAGGAAACACCGGATTCACATCCGATTGTTATGTGTACTGCAAAAACTGAGTCGATTTATATATGTTGTGAATAATTCTGAGAAAAATTTGTTTTTTCAAAAAAAATCCCTGTACCCCTCCTCAAGGATGATCTGGTCGAAAATGACAATTTTTTCGATAACTCAGCCATTTCTTGACGGATCCTTCTCATCTTTGAACTCGACTGAGATATTAATGAGATCATTATGTGTACAAAATTTCATGACAATTGGATGAGGCCTTCAAAGGTTATCGTGTTAACGGCCGGCCGGGCAGACTTACCGAATCTAGAGTGTATTCACTTTTTTTGAGTACACACAAAAGTAACACTGGGTGCTCTTTTCATAGTCTAGTAAACACGAATAATATCCAAGTACATAGATAAGCGTATCCTTAGTTTTTCATTATCGCCTTATGGAAAACAAAATCAAGTATAGGGATGATTACATTTGTCATATAGTACTTGAAGTATACCTTTTCGTTACATTCAATAAAGCAAAATAACGAAAATTATATTGTATTACTAAAGGAATTTTTTATGTTTTATTTCTGTCAATGTATAAACGTGCAAAAACATAATCACAGAATCTTCTGATAAAAACAAGTGACATTGTCTGTGCGTAAGTTTTACCTAAAAACAAAACAAAATGAAATTTATTATATGGAGTCATTTCATGCAAGAACAATACATAGATAGAGTAGCAGTCGATTATAATTCGATGACAAAAGCAAAAGAAAACTGCTCTATCGAATCTACTATGTCACTCAATCAAATAAGACATAATTTATGTCAATTATAATAAGCGAATTCTGATTTATTCGTTTTTTCTTATTTTTATATTGCATCTCATGAAAATTTTAACAGGCAGTGACGTGATACATAACTTTCTTGTGGCAATCATATTGATAATCTTGCTTTCTATCTAGTTGTTCGTCTGTTCTCTTGTGGAGGGTACTTACTAAATAGATTTTCGGATTATTGGCTCATTTTAGTTTTAAATTTTACTTTAATACTCAACAAGATTTAACAAAGTTTTCTAACATTAAACATTAGGTTTAATTACAAATAGCATCTGTTTGAAAGAACATATAGGTCTATTTAGAATGGCACGCTTTTTCTCCATAACTTAAGTTGTTTTGTTTTTTAAGTTTCAAAATTCTCTACATCTATAAAAGATAATCAATAGTAGTCTCGGAGGAATGATAGTTTATAGCCTCTATATTATCATACATTATGTTTTACATTTCAAAATCAAATTTATCCATACTGCTTATTTTCAGTTTTGCTTCTCTAAATCTGCTTTGTATGTAAAACTTGATTAGTAGACATCAGTATTAAATTTCATTGTCGTAAGTTTTTATATTCCAATAGATGTCATTGAATATTTCTCGAGTGTTGCTCTTGTTTTTGAATCATTTTTTATTTCATAGAAGAAAAACATATCGATATTAGATAATAACTACAACGTGAATATTCATTCAATCTTCTGCAAGTACAATAATTTTATCCTCGTATTGAAAAGTAATTGATATATCTTTATCAGGATTTAGAACAATGCCATAAAATTTATTTGAATCTTGAGCATATTTCATTTGTCTATAGCCAATAGCTAATGCTTGTTGTTTCAGTGAGGCTTCAACTATAAGATAAAATGGTATAGCAACACCTATTATAGTAAATAATGAGACTGGTTTTAAATAAATTTCTGCACCCTCAGCTGTCAGTAAAACATCAAATACTTTAGTTAAATTCTTATTTTCAGATATTTGTGCTATATATTTTGACAGTATATTTGGACTAACGATGAAATCATCTGCACGTGTTATTTCTGCCAATTCACGATTTCGTATATCAAACATTTCTGTTACAATATTAAATGTTTTTTGACGAGCATTTTTATCAATCATATTACGTAAGTGTAATAAACATATAAGACACTCAGCATCAGCCGCTTCCGAAGATGACGTTTCTAATTGATTTTGTTCATTATTAATATCATTAGCAAGAAGTATAACATCGTGATAACTATATCTAAAAGGTAAGAAAAAAAATATATATATAAGATTACTTTTGTTTTCATGTTTAGATTCTTATATTTACAAATTAAGCTTTTCTAAATCAAGTCGATTTGTAATATCACCTGAATGTAAATATAATTTTTGTCTTTCTAATTCGTTAACTAATTGTTCGGTTATAATCTTTTTGGCTTTATCCATATTTGTTAAAATATGTAATTCACTTCCTTCTGAAACATAATTATCCAATTGTTTTGCAATTAATGATCCTTTTGAATTCCATCCAAGAATAATATTTTTCTCAATATTCGTCTGTTTTTCATTGTTCGTTTGAATTGATGACATCGTTGCTTCAAATATGGTAGTAACTGACGTGTTATTGGATGATAAATTAATTGCATCATCATCTTCAGCAATAACAATTATTTGATCATTTTGATGAATAATTGTATCGCGCGATGGACATATTTTTATTGTTTCGTCAGCAAACATTAAGCCAATAACCGAACTAGTACGATACAGAAATAAAGCATCATTAAATGTTTTACCAACTAGTAAAGGTTCGTATTTAAAATAAATTTCATCATATTTAAAAGAAAGTAACATTGATAAAATAATTGATAAACCTGATTGTCGACCACTTTGTGCTATTATACGTGCAATAATTTCATCAGCATGAACAAATACAACTTCATCTGCGCCTATGTAATAATCAATTATTTTAATAATAAAATTCTATTCTCTTGATTTTCTTTTCGCATACAAATCTTTCTCACCTGCAATACGTGCTACTTCAATATTATTTCGTTCTTTTATTTCAGCAACAATATGAAACTTTAATTTTGTTCTCTGAGGGTTATTTGTTATAGCTAATATTGTTTTTATAACACTTACATCGGGATTATCGTTTAATGGTGCTAATATAATTATTGATCGAGCATTGTTGGGTGATAGTATATTTAAATCATGTATTGACATCGGATCACCATTACGACAAATAATTTTCGTATTTTTATTTCCATCAATTTTTTGTGAGATTATCTCTTGCATTTCAATACGATCTATAGGAGCTAAAATAACAATTGATGGGTTATGTTGATTTTCATTAGCTAGAACTAGTTCATTGATAATATCAAAAATTTTCGATGACCAACCAAGTATAACTATTCATTTAATGATAAAATTTATTTTAAGAAATTTAATTAGAATTCATTTACTCGTATGATTTGTTTCAACAACTTTAGTTCGTCCTTTACGTAATTCAGCTAGTTTTCCTTCCATACCTGTTGTTAATGCACCGATTAATGTTGAAATAATAAAAATTCCACACATAGTCACTGCTGCTGAAATCAATCGATGAATTCCGCCAGTGTCTTCAGCTGCGGAACCAGGATCTATAGAAGTATTTATGAAAGTTAAATTTACATTCGAATAGGAAAAAAAGGAAATATGTCAACTTCACCAAGTGTACGCATGAATGTTTCCCATAACGATTGTGAGTATGTACGAGTTTCTCCACTCCATAGATAAAGTGAGGAAAAAATAAGAATTAAACAAATCGAAATTAGAGCGAGAATAGGAATAATAACAACAGGACCTGCTGCAAATATATTATCTGATTTATATTTAAGCCATGCACGAAAATACGATGGTTGATACCGATTTCGTTTGTGATTACATGATGAACATAGAAAAGTTAAATAAGTTTTATTCTTTGTTTTCATTGATGAGATAAAAACAAATATATGCAGTTTATTTTAATAATGGCAGCAAAAGCACATACGACAACTATGCGCATATCTGAATATATGAAAACAATAACAGAATAGATTGATTTGATGATATTTCTGGATCATTACAACATCTA